AAGAGCACCTTCAGTCATTTATAAAGATCTCCCAAGATAAGAACTGCAAACTAAATTGAAAACCTAATTCTATGGGGTTTTTTTAATGGATTGTAAGCTCCTTAGAGCAAGGTCCTGTCATCTTGGAGTCTAGAAAGTGCCATATGCATTAATAATTTTAAATAATTTGAAAACATTGGAACAAAAATGGAATTAAGTCTTCAGATACATTTAGAAATATATATTTTTCAACTAGGGAGATCTCCACAGCAACTGCCTAGATTAAATTCAAGGATTTTTAGCACTAGTTCTAGCAGAGAGATAGCTGTACTTGTTTCTGAATTTATCTCAGACACATAAATTTAGGGACATAATGGGGGGAGGGGAATTATAGACACTAAGATTTTTGGAAACCTTACCACTTCCTGATGACTGGTAAGCATACTTTAACAAAATAGTAATTGGGTTTTTTAAATACATTTATCAAGGTTACTGCCTCACAGCTAAATAAATATCAGTAATTTTACTAGTATTTGGTGCAGCCTCTGAGATACTGCACTTTGGGTCAATTCAAGCAAGTATGTATACTGATCTATATTTCACTTGGAATCTTTTGCATATATAAACAATTTTCACTGATGACCCAACCTCCGTGAATGATTATTGCTGAAAATTAATGAATCTCTAATACAGTAGTGTCTTAATTCTTTCTTGTCTTTATTTGGTAATTGTGGGAATATTTTCATCAACTTCCTCATGGGAAGACTGAAAGAGGAAATATTCACTGCTACAGGATGAGAAATTATCTTTCAAACTGGAATTTTGCCTGCAGTCATCTTTTATGTATGTAAGAGCTGCCCAGCTTTGGGGCAAAAATTCATTGACCAGGGTAGGTCTTTTTCCTAGAGTATATGACTGGAAATGATGCTGTGTATGTGGGGAGCAGAAAAGAGGTTCAAATTATCTGGTTGCAGTTGCCACTGTAGAAGGAGTCCAGTAATTTCCTGTCTCATGAAAATACTAGTGTGATAGCTGTTTAGTCTATTATAGGGAAACAAACAGGCCAGTGGTACCTTAAAGACTAAAAATATTTATTATGATATGAGCTATTGTGAGATAGAGGTCACTTCTTCAGATACTGTTGTATCTGGGTCATTTCTTTCCAAGAAGGGGCACCACTCCTGGACCATTCAAAGCAGGTAAAATGACCTGTCGTTTGCCTAGCCAACCAGCCAGCTGAGCTGGATCTTTCAGCCAATTCAGGACTTAAGAATATTAGAAAGGACCTGGAGAAAGAAACAGACCAACAAGGAGGCATGCAGGGAGCTGTTTACCCTCTCAGCAGGGAGCTGTCCAACTTGGTACACAAGCTGGTTTGTAGAAGGTGTTGAACCAGCAGTTAGAACTCCTAACTGAGGCTTACACAGAACTTCTAACTGAAGCCAGAGTGGGATTCCTGCTCTCCAAAGATCTTGAGAGCCATGATCTTCTTCTGAGCTGGACAGGAAAGTGGGATGCCTTGGTCTGCCAGACACATGCACCTCTGCCTGATCCAGGCTTTGACTCATGGCTCTCCTTTTCCTTTGCTGCTAGATCCTATGACAGATTGGGGGTGGGGTGACAGAAGTGCATGGTATATTCAGGAAGTTCCTGATCTGCTTGTTCCACCACATCTACTCCACAAGACAATTAAACCCAGCATTGGAGCCCATTGCTGTATCACAACGGCTGCGAACCTTTGTCTTAAGGGATAGAGTAACTCTGTCAAAAGCAGGTTGTCTAACACTATTGCCAGTCAACAGTACTACCATAATGTCCAGATTAAGGTTCACTTTGTTTGCTTTCATCCAGTCCATTACTGATTCAGAATTCCTACTTCCTCTCCAGAAGAAGAAGAGAGAGCTTGGTAACATCTACATATCAATGCTGCTGTATTCCAAATCTTGGGCAACTTCCCTAGTAGTTTCATGTATATGTTAAACTGGGTGAGAGATGAGATGGAATCTTATTGTTCACTGTCAGCCAGATGTCATGGAATTGAAAAGCAGTCTTCCATCTTTTGAACCCACTTGAACCTTAATTAATGCTTTGCTCCAAGATTGTATTTACACTGATCTTTTTTTATTCTTTCTTTCAGTTACTGTAATGGGTGCATGCTGGATCCATTTTGTGGCTTTTGCTATAAACTAAACAAGTCAAGTGTTGTGGAGTCCTCCTGTGTTCCTGTTAATAAGAAATCTACAATAGAAGCTGCTTGGGGCAGGTATATTACTTTTGCTATTCCTTAATTTTATCAGAGTGACTCTGTAATTTAAATATTAGTTTTCCATGAGAACCTATCCTTTTTATATTAGAAAGTATGGTTGTTAACATGTCTTCAAAATACCATTGGTCAGCATAGTAATGTTCATCAGGAGTTTTCATTTATAAAAAAATATTTCATTTGGCTTTCCTTTTTTCACTGCCTCTAGAAAAAAATAAAAACACTCTTCAGTGGAATCATTTGTGACTGCCCACTTAAAGGTCACATCATATTTTTTCCTGAACATCAATGGCAATGAAAAAACAAATAAACATTGTGCCAAGACTCAGTCATGACTTTTGAATAAATGTGATGTTCATAAAGCTAGTAAAGTGACAGAAGGAGGTGTAATTAGAATTAATACAGAATGCTACAGTGCTTATGCATACTTCTAATATTAAATTAAACCAATGCTTGTGACATGTGTTAAGATAAGCCACCATGCCTAGAGGAGGAATGTCTACATTAGGTCCACCCCAGCCCTTGTATATGCATCACACGTGAGCATAATGCCTGTATGCATAAAGTTTGTACATGCTGTGTCTTTGTGGGGACAAGGGCCAGCATGCTTGCTTTCTCTTTACGTGCATTGTCTTGTTGCTAGATCTGGTGCGCATAATTTTCTGTTTATGTATGGGAAAGTGTGGCAAACTTAGAGCAACTTAAGGCGTGTTTAGGTATGTACATCACAGAAGCCACTGCTGCATCTGTAATTTTTGTTTATTCTTTGAATGATACCTTTGCTCAAATGTTTTAAAACCATGACCCAGAACATAAAGCTTCTGTATTGATGAGCTGAGCTAAACATGTCCAGAATGGTAGTAGTGTTGCTTGGGTAATAATTTCTTTACTTTCTAACTTTATCTTTTTCTAAAGCAATTGTAATAATAATACAGTACTCAAACAATCACAGAGCTGCTGATGAAAATTACAGCCTTTGTTGAGTTCCTTCTGTAATATCTTGCTCAATTTACCCCTTTTCCTGCACAATAGAAATGGCTATCTAGTGTGCGGACTCATTCTCATGAATCATTTAGACCGGTTTTATTTTTTAAATGTTGCTAGTAAAATGTTTAGGGATCAAGCCTAAACAGGTTTTCTCAGAGGAAAGTCCTGTTTTATTAAACTGCGATTTAATCCCAGGAAAGTGTTTTTAGGATTGCACTCTTAGCCCAGCAGTTTAAAGCTTTTGTTTCATACTTTGTTTTTGAGAGATGGCATATGTTGATCATGGAGCTTCAACTTACAGTCTCTATGGCTGTGATCACACGTGTCAGAAGATCCAACGTAGGTGCGAGTGCCCGACAGATCAAAAGGGTGTGATCAGACAGCAACATCTGGAAAGCATCCCACAGCTGTCAGCAACCCATGCTGCTCCGCTGCAGAAGAGGAGCAAAAAGACACCGGAGAAAATCTGGTAGTAAATGGGTTGCGATGGGCCACGGACAGATGTTCCCCTGTCTGATTGCTCCAGCGCTCTCTCAAATCTGATCAGGCCATCCCGGCTTGGTGCAATTCCCCCCTCCCTCTTCACAGTATATGCATCATCGCATACCCATAGGGGGCCCTCGGTGCGGAGGTGCCATTCCTCATTTATGCACATGGGAAACAAATGGCAAAAAAGAGACTCACCTGCAGTTGCTTCTGATCACACAATGACGGGCTGAGCCCGCGGCAACAAAGGGCTGTGTGATCTCACAACTGCGGGTCAAATTCCTCCGGAGGGAATAGCCTCACTTCCTCTCTGCTTCAACTGGCACGTGTGACCGCAACCATGAATGAGTAAAGGTAATAGTTTTATGAACCGAAGTGGATTTTTCTTGTCAGTTATGGGATTTTTTTTATAGAATCACAACAGACTCCACGCTGGAAGCTTTTAGCCATCAGTTCAAGCAGAAATAAATATATTTTGATCTGTCAAGGATGGTGTTTCATCTTTTTATGAGAGATCCTAGATTTCCATTTCACAGCTGCAGTACTACATGTCAGGTGAATAATTCCAGTTCAGACTTTGACAGTATTTTCCAAATTGCAGTTGTCAGTTACAGTTGAGGGAGTAGAGGAGATGTCATTACCTTATGGTTACCAGGATGGCTGTTCGCATTATAGAGGCTGCTGTGGAAAACTGAAAGAACCATTGTGTGTCAAAATGATGGGGAGCAAAGTTTACAGGAGCAGTGCTATTGTCTCTTCATTTCAGTGTAAAGGAACCTGTGGTAGGAGGAAGAGGGAGGGCATGCCACAAGGAATAGCTAAAAATAATAAAAAGGACTGTTTAAGTTGCTCTTTTAAGAAAGGTTTAGTCAAGATGACTGATTCAGGACAAAGCAGAATTTTATCTACGACTTTTGGCTAGGACCCAGCAGAAGCTGTCTCTGGGCAGGGCAGAAATTATGTGCTAAAATGCATTAAAGTTGTGGATTCCCCCCCCCCCCCCCCCAAAAAACCCGGCATAACAATTGTCAAAGAAAAAGCCATGCTTACATGAACTCAGAAAATCTTTATAGCTTCAGGATCCCTGCTATACCCATGAAAACCTTTCATAAATATAGATAGCTGTTGTTTGTTTCATTAAAACTCCCTGGAAATAGTATCTCTTAAGCAGCATGCTGTGCTATGCTACCCTGAACTGCAATTTTGTTTCAGGCAAAATGCTGAGTTCATAAGGGGTAGTGATTTGCAGCTTTGGAGGATGCAAAAACTAGACTGTTGCAGAAAACATAATTTTGTACTAGAAGCTGGGGGCCTGTAAAGAATTTGGAAGTAGAAACTGAATCTTAACAACTACAAAGGATCTTATATTGGGGGTCATTGATACAAAGATTAAGTATTATAATCATGTTGTAGCAAACCTTGACACATTTTCCTTGGCTCTAGGAGCCAGCCCAAAAATGTAGGAACCAAACTCATTCTTCACCCTTCAGGGTTTCATATTCTATTTTCTAATTATTGTTATCACAAAACCTAATCCAAACCTTTTCTCAGTTCCTTGTAATTTAATTAATTAATTTGATTGTTGATTATAAACTGTATTTTTGTATGTTTGAATCTATAGTAAATCGCCCAGAGTCCTGTGTACTCAGGGATGGGGTGATTCAGAAATGTAATAAATAATAACAATAATATGAATGGCATGGCAAAACTATTGTAGTAAATAGGTGAGTGAGGGACCCATGGGGAGTCTCATGCCCCATCCCCCCTTTTCCTTTTCCTCTTTGCCACCCCCAGCAGTTCTTGCAGCCTCTCCTCTTCTCTCCCACCTACCTACCTACCGCCGATTTTCTGTTTCTCCCTGGCAGCCTCCATACCCACCCACTCAACCATTATTTTCTGTTCCCTTCCTCCATCTTTACCTTTTCTGTCTTTTTTTTATCATTCCACTCTTACTCCCTCCAGCTTTACTTTCCCTGCCTTCTGTCTTTTTCCTGTTTAAATCTCTCTCTCCCCCCTTCCCGTGCATCAGCACTAACTGAGGCTTGGAATCCTCAGTCAGCAAAGTTGACTGCAGGTTCCCTGCAAGCGCCAAAATCACCATTAAAATCTTTCAATGTAATTTCAGTCGCAAACTTTTCTTAAGGAAGCAGACATTGGTTCAATGATTTTGTTTGTTTAAGCCCCAATGTATTTCTGTTAATATTGAATATTTTTCTGCAAATCGGGTGCTTCCCCCAGGTTTATACAATATCCCATGTCTGTTCCTGGCTCGTGTGCATTTGTGTGTTGTAATTCCAGCTCTATGGCTCAGTTCAGAATTAGATATAATGATATCGGAAGCCCTGGTTGCCATCACCACAACAAAATGCTAAGCTCTAACCCTAACCTAGCTTTCCCCCAGTCTCTCATTATTCCATTATTTCTTTTAAAAGCTTGCTTTAATTGGATATTGGAGTCAGTATAGAAAACTACTGGTTAACAAATGACTATCCATCACCAGCAAATGGTGTAAAGTTAAGTTTACTTGTGAACAAGTAGTGAGAAGAGCTTCATGCATCCTTTTGTCATACAACAAAACATTCTGATTAAAAATATGCTTATTCTTCCATGCAGGTTTGCCAAGAGACACTACAATAAAATTAGCTCAGTTTCGCCTTCCAGAAAGGTTAACTGGGCATAATAAACTGTCATTTCTACAAACAGGCCTTAAAAAATTTTTGTAACAGGGAAGCAGTCACCCCCCCCCCCAAAAAAAAAACCAACACCCCACAGCCTTATTTACCAAACTGAAGCTGTTTTCAAAGCGGTGGTTGCATTTTCACAATGTGAACCACAAGTATAGTTGTAAGAGAGTTCAAATGACATAACTACTTTTCTAAGTTGATTAACAGTGAAAACATAACTTTAAAGTAAAATATCCACATTTATCATATATGCTATATCCAAACAAGGCTGGCTTTAAGCTATTTGGAGCTCTGATTAAAAGCCAGACATTTTGCAGACCCAAGCACCTGTTTTGCTGTCAGAGAACTTCAGCCCAGGCCTAGAATGCTCCATGATATCACAAGGGAGAGGCCATGGTTCATGGGTTGAACATATGCAGAACATCGCTGGCTCACTCCACTCAATCTCTGATTCCAGTATTGCATGCAGCAGATGCTGGGAAAGACCTTTTCTCTGCCTGAGATGTGGCCCTTCTGATCTAAGTGGATCAAGTGTGTGAAGTTGCATTCATTATTGCATCTTGGGTGCATTTCCCTGATTACATGTTGGTTTGCAGAAACCCTGAAAACATGGCTTGTCTAGTCTCACCTGCCTTGTATGAGAAGAAATGCCCATGTCTTCCAGCAGAAGCCCTCAAATTACATCTTTCTCACAAAAGATGGGAAAGGTGGAAGGAATATAGTGCAGAATGCCACACATCAGCAAGTGTTGCCTTGGAGTAATAAAAGGCTACAGTAATTTATATGCAAAGTATTTTGTGTTAATTGAAGATGGTATGAACCATGTTTGATTTTGTCTTGCAT